ATATTTCACTCAGTATACTGTTCTCCAGAGTCACCCGTTTTGTATAATATTTCATGAGTTCCTTGTTTTTCCAATGCAGCGTAGTATTTAATTGTGTGAATATACCAGAGCTTCTCTGTCCATTCGTTTGTTGATGGACACTTGAGCTGTTTCCGACTCCTTGCTATTGTGAACAAAGCCGCTATTAACATGGGGGTGCGTAAATCTGCTTGGATGGCAATTCTGGTTTCTTTTGGGTATATTCCCAGTAGTGGAATTGCTGGGTCCAACGGTATTTCTATTTGCAGCTTTTTTGAGAAAGTCAGGCATCTTTCTGAGCTACAGTGTCGGCACGCTGTAAATGTCTGCTCCAGTAGCCTCAGCCAGCCGTCCAGCTCATAGGCAGTGCTCATCAAATGGACCACTTAGTTAACCAGTGCTATATGGCTGGTTACTAAGAGGACCTGCTGATAGACACAGAATGTTATGCAGACAAATGGACACACAAGGAACAAAGGACCATTTCCCCCTCCCCCAGTCATGGTTCTGCAGTGCACATACCTAGACAGTGCTAAAAATGTGCCCGTGTATTAATTCAAAAGCATAGCATGGTATTTGATTGATTGCTGTACAATTTAAGAAACCATTTGCAAGTTGGAAAAAAAAAGTTTCCTCATGCAGGAGAGAATGCATCTCCTAGAAAAGGGAATTGAGAAACTTTGAAAACTTTTGCTTGAAGAATACAGGTTTCCATGGCAACAAAACACTTAATGCCATTCTGAGTTAATATTTAAAAGGCAGCTTCAGAGAAGATTCACCCTTCCACCCACGTACAACCTGAGTTTGCTAGAGATTTAATCACAGGTTAATGGTTTTGTTTATGGTCCTGCTTTGGAACAGGGAACACAAGTCGTCTTAGTCATTTTGAGTGAGAAAGAAAAAAACCCCCAAAACAACCACCCACCATCTTTTCAGGTCAGGAGGGTTTAGGTGTGAATGACAGGAGGGGCCGTAGCTCCAGTCCCAGAGCAACACACCAAAAAGATCGCAGCTGAGGGAGTCACACCGCCTTTGCTGTGGCCTCCTGCGTACGAAAGCCGCATTGCCGCTGTCCCGTGGCCTTTAAAGTGTTCAGTAACATGAAAAATGTGAAACACTGTGAGAAGGCCAAGTGTGTCCCAGAGACACAAGGCGAGCACGTGGCATTGGGAAAGTGGCCCCACCAGCTTGTTTGATGCAGGTTTGCCGCAGCCCTTCAGTTGGGAGTGTCAGGGGACGCAGTATCTGCAAAGCATAATAAAACGGTCGTTACGTGCTGTCAAGTGGAGTACGACTCATAGCGACCCTGTGAACGACAGGTCCAAGCCCTGGCCTGGCCTGGCCGTCCTCATCGTCTCTGACACACCTGAGCCCCTGCTGCAGTCAACTGTCAGTCCATCTGGTTGAGGACCGCCCCCCCTTCCGCCCACCCTCTGCCTTTCCAAGCATGGTGTCCTTCTTCAAGCCCCTCCTAAAAGTCTGTGAGACAAAGCTTCACCATCTTTGCATCCAGGGAGCATTCTGGCTTACTCTCTCTAAGAGAGTTTGTTCTTTTGGCAGTCCATGAGGTATTAATGAGACAATAATAAAACTAGGTATGCTTATATTTACTGTGCAGTCTCATTCTATGAAAGTAGCATGAAAGTGTATCTGCTAGAAAAGATTACCCATGATTCCGTTGCCCTTATAGCAGCTGATTTCATCATTACCACTGCCCTAGGAATACTGATGTAGCTATAATCCTTTTCAGGAATGGCGTTTTCTGTTTGTTTTCTCACTTTGGTTCTGAGTTTCTTCACGCGACTATACCATGATTTTGCTTTCTCTTTTCATCACATGTCTAAGCCCTCCTTTGGTTAAAGGACCCTTGCTCATGCCCTGTCATGTGCTGGATGATCTGTCTGTAAAGTGGAGCCTATTCAGAGAAACTGTTCATTGTTGTTGTTTAATCTAAAGTAAATCACTGTTTGCCTTAAGAAACCACCTACTGACTTTGGAGGTTGATGCACCCTGGAACCAAGACAAGCATCGTGCTGTTGGGTCCGAAGCCGTTTTGAGGCTCTGTGAGGGGGCAGTGGCGGGGCCCCTCCTTGCTCTCGTCGCTCGGCTGTCAGCCCCTTGACCGTCCTCTCTGTCCTTCCAGAGCCCTATCAGATTCCGGTCGTCGGCGTGAGCATCCCTGTCATGTGGTTCTACCTGCTCATGAACGTCATCACGCAGTATCCTTCAGCCGTACGCTTCTCTGTGCTGCTCTGACAGGGGAAGCGCTTCTTTTTCTATCAGTGCAGCGACCTTCTGTCTTGAGTTATTCTGCGGTGAGGAGGTGACAGAGCGACCTGGTCAGGGAGTCTAAAAGCTGCTCGTGGGGCAGTAGGTCACGGCGAGGGGTCAGCTTGAAGGAATGCAGGGACTGTGGAGGTCTTGTGAGTAATTAAGAATTGGCAGAACCCATTGATAGAACCAGGGAGCTCTGGGACTCAGGGGTAAGGAATTGTGCTGCCAACGTGAAAGTAAGTGGTTCGAATCTACCAGCTGCTCCATGGGAGAAAAATGGACAGTTTTCTCCTATGTGAGTTACAGCCTCTGAAAACCACTGGAGGGTCAGCAAAGGGTCAGCTCTGACTTGATGGTTCTCAACAACACTGCAGTCGAGGAGATTCTGACTCATAGTGACCCCACAGGACAGAGCAGAATGGCCCCATAGGGTTTCTAGGTTTCTCTATAGAAGCAGACTGCCACACCGTTCCTCCATTGGTCAGCTGGTGGATTCGAACCATCAACCAGTCAGCAGCCAAACTGTTTGACCACGGTGCTGCTAGGGCTCTTTCAGATTTAATAAACAGCGTAAGCAGTCTATGATTTCTACCCAGATGTTTCTCATCCTGGGACATTTCCACGTAGCCCTGCTGCCCCAGCATTCTGAAAGATAGTTCAAATTCATGAAATCGTAATTTTTTAGAATAGACTATTTTGAACTCCCATAAGTTTATTGTAAAAACCATTGAATCTTGAATGAAAAATATTGAGATTAGCCTTATTCCTCTGAAGGGTCCTCATAGATCTGCCGCCTAGAGTTTGTCCTTGGTGGAGGGGACGGAGGAATGGGGTCAAGGACTCGTCCTTGCTCAGAGTGTCCCCCGAAGTATCAGGCGAGAGGTGGTAGGTACCTTCATTGTCAACTATGGGAAGATCTAGGTCATGAACGCTGGGAAGTTTTAAGACCGTTTTGAATTGGGGTCCTCTCTGGAATGGCGGGGCGGGAACCCTGGGGACATTCTACCCGGGGAGACCCCCTCAAGGGGCACTGAAGCCCCTTTGTGGGAATGTAGACACTTCCCGGGGCCCCGTCTTCAGGAAACGGCCTTAACCGCGCTCAGGTACGTGTGCATCCGTGGAGTCTTCATCCTGACCACCGAGTGCGCCTCCCTCACCGTCACGCTCGTGGTGACGCTGCGTAAGTTCGTGAGCCTCATCTTCTCCATCCTGTACTTCCAGAACCCCTTCACGCCCTGGCACTGGCTGGGCACCCTCTGTGTCTTCATCGGGACCCTGCTGTACACAGAGGTGTGGAAACACCTCAGACGCCCGCCTCCGGAGGAGGACAAGAAGAAATGAGGCCAGCCTGGAACACGGACAGCGTGCAGGCGCCAGAGAAGGCTGGCCCGGGGCGGCCACTGGGCACTGGTGTCCACGCTGCCCGGCCCCAGCACTGAGCGTGGACCTGGGACTCCTCGGAGGGAGGGCTGCCCAGAGCGCCCAGGCTCCGGAGACTCGGCATAGACGCCCCTCGGCCCAAATAGAGATTAGCTCCACAGGACGGTCCCCCCGCCCCGGGTTCTTCCGTCTTGTTTACAGACCGTTCAGGACCGCGCTGGCTTGTTGACTGCCCCATCCCGGGCACTTCTCGCTCCAGTCTGTGACCTCAGGCGAGATCCGAGGTCAGCTCTTTCCTTGCTGTTGGGTGGCCTCACGCCGTATCAGTCATTATGGTCCCTCAGCCTTGCCCTTCTGTCACCCGCCATCCTCCCACCTCACAGCATTCTGTAGCCCGCTGGATGACCCATGGGACCTGGGGATGGGGAGAGGAGCCCCCCAGGCAGGGCCGGCAACACTGGAACAGGTCTCTGGGAACCCCCACCCCACATTTTGCTGTTTCTTTTTTTTTTTTTTTTTTAATTTTCTATGCAAAAGTAAAATGCTTCCCCGTCTCCTGCTCTCCGTTTAGCACACACCTTTGTACAGTGTTGGGAGGGGAGGGCTGTGCACGTGCATTTGAAGGGACAGGTCCCTCCCTCGGAGCCGTGAGCCCACGTGCGTTCAGGTGGTGCCACAGGCCAGCAGATCAGTGCATCGTGTCCACCCCATACGTGTTCTGTGTCCATCCATGTATACATATGTATGTATGTGGATGGTATGTAAGTCGGGTCAAATCACAACTAAAGGTGAATTTTTACTTTTCCTCTTTTCCTGCATAGTGTCTTAATGGGCTTGGTGAGCACCTGAGGGGTTTCGTGGCTAATGACTTAGAGACATGTGCCTGCCACTGGTCATGTGTCCGACAGGTCATGGGCCTGAGCCCCTTGGGGCAGGAGGAGCATGGAGTCAGGATCTCGCTTCCCTCCTCCTTGCCTCGGGCCCTGACTCACCTCACACAGGTCCTCAGAGGCAGGGAGCTCACTGGCCACTTCCCCCCAGTGCACACAAAGGAAGCTTTCCCCTGTTGCTGGGCTATGGTGTCCTCCACCCACAGCTGCCCCAGGCCCTGGGCATCTCTATGTGATTCGTGTCCCGCTGTCTGCAGGAGAGTTTTGTTTTTTAGAAAATGTGGATGCTGTTTCTCTACTAGTGATGATGACAGCTTCCCAGTGGCCTGTAAGAGTCTGTCCTAAAGAATTATTGAACCCATCGTGGTATTAAAAGGCACTTCCTTCAAAATGCATGAGATTCCTCAAGAATGATGGTGCTATGAATATGTTAAAGTGTTAAAGAACCGCCTAAGAACAAAAATGCCCCAAGCTCCATTTCTGTCCATGCAGTAGAAGAACCTGTCCCTGGGGCCTCTTTGTGTGCCCCCCAGCTGGCTCAGGAAGATGTTCTGTGTGGGTGGGGTGTCTTAGATAGCCAGGTGTCCCCTTTTCACACAGGTGTGAATGCTACAGTTTAGTCATGGAAGCTGGTGCTGACATACAGACCGCATCCAACCGTTTAAAAAGCCCTTCTCTTTCAGTCTTGTTTGGAAGACGGTTCCTCTCTGCATACCTCAGCTGGTCCTCTTAGCACAGTGTCGACAGGTCAAGGATTGGAGCTCTCATGTTCAAGCCGTGTCACAGGACGGCAGGATGTGTGTCAGAGGGTGTGTCTAACGGGCTTTCAGCCCAGCCACAACTAAACTCATTGCTGTCTAGTCAGAACCGACTCCCACCGACCCTCCAGCGGGTTTCTGAGGCTGTAAATCTGCCCGTCTTTCTCCTGAAGAGTCACTAGTGGATTCGAACCCCCAGAGAGACCCCTCTGCTTTGGAGTTAGCATCGCAGCTCCCTGTGCACCGTGCCACCAGAGAGCTCCCTCAACAAGCAGTAGTTAATGCTTGGTAAAGCAAACCACAGAACCATGTGTTTGCCTTTGTAAACTGATTTTTCAGTCCAAGTTGAAATTTTCCCCCAGCTCATTAAAAGTGCAAAGAACTTTCTATAGATAATTGGACATAAAGCTGACAAGAAGCGGGGGAGCCGTCACCCAAAAGCCTATTCTCTTTCTCTGTGTCAGGACTGGGGCAGCTTCAGTTTCAGAGAATCAGAGGAGGATGTGCTGTGTTTATACAAGGTGTGGTGCTCAAGATGTTGAAACTGTCCTGAGAGCAAAGGCCACGTAGCAGTGACAGCAGGCAGAAATTTTGTGTGTGCGCGCACACACACACACATACACCTCACCCAATAGCTTGATAAAATATTGATAAGGTAAAAGGAAATGCAAGTAGATATTCAAAGGAGATTAAATTTCATGTCCTCTGCCAAAATTGTGCTGTTCCATTTTCAATGCTTTTTAAAAATTTTTTTTCCATTAATGCTTTTCTTTTCGACCCTTTCTTTTCTTTGGCATCTGAAGTCCCCCTTAGGAATACGTGCACTTGATCAGTTTATGTAGCCAGCTCTGAAGTGTGACTCAGCCCAGATCTTCCCCCGCCCCCATGAAGTGCTGCAGAACTTCAGTGTGCCCACGCTGCCAGGGGGTGGTCTGAGCCGCCCACACCCTCTGCTGCTCTTGGTAAAGGATTCTAGCAAATAGCTTCCACCCATTTCCTGCAGGGCCCTGGTGGTGCAGTGGATGGAGTGTTGCACTCCTCACTGAAAAGTGACTGGAATCCTCTCTCCACATCGTGGGAGCGAGAAGAGGCAGCCTGCTTCAGTGACGATCACAGCATCAGCAGTTCCTTGCTGCCTTGCTGCATCATGCAGATGACACCACCTTCCTGCTGAAAGCAAGGAGGACTTGAGGAACTTGCCGCAGAGTATCACAGACTAGGAGCCTTCAAGATGGATTACATCTCAATGTCAAGAAAACGAAAATCCTCACCACCAGGCCAACAGGCAACATCGTGATAGATGAGAAAGGATTAAAGTTGCCAACGATTTCATCTTGCCTGGATCCACAGTCAACATCTTGGCACCAGCAGTCAGGAGATCAAAAGGTGTGCTGTGTTGGGAACATCTGCTGTCAAGGAACTCTCCAAAGTAGTGAAGAGCAATGATGTCAATTTGAAGACTTTGGTGCCCGGTGCCCGTCAGCTAAGCCATGGTCTTTTCAGTTACGTGCTGTGTATCTGAAAGTTGGATAATGAATAAAGATGACAAAAGAAGAATTGATGCCTTTGAGCCGTGGTGTTGGAGAAGAATACTGAATATCCCCTGGACAGTCAGAAGCGCAAAGATATCTTGGAGAAATTGCAATCAGGGTTTTCCTTAGAGACAAGGATGGTGGAACTTTGTCTCACACACTTTAGACATGCAGTTAGGAGAGGCTATTCTTTGGAAACTCATGAGCAGTGGTTCCACTCTGGAAGCTGGTTTCTCCCGTCTTGAGGGGAGTTTTGGGTTGTGTTTGATTTATGATACTTTTTTTCACCTCCACAATGTGAGTGTCAGTTTGCCTTTGACCCCTTTTGGCTAACAAGGACCCAAGATCAGAGTCTTGCTCAGGTTGTGTCTTTAAAACTCTGTAGGGCCCTTGGGCCTGCTGCCCTCAGGCCAAAATGTATTCATTTTAGAACATTCTTTAAGTGGTACAGCAATTGTTTGTCTCTTTGCTGTAGTGAACAACTTGGAGTTACTGTGACGCTGAGCACTGTGCCACAGTCGTGTCAAATACCATAATGGTCACTCACCATGGACGGTGTGTGGAGGTGCTTCCAGATTGATGACGGTTTGGAAGCAGGAGCGGCATCCACTTCCTAAAACAAATGTTTCTGGAAACTCTGTAAATTCTATAATCATACAGAAATTAATTAGAGAACAGAGTTCAGGTCTTTTGTTCATAGGGTCACTATTCAACTTGACAACCACTGCTAAGTGAGACAAGTGTTATATTTGGAGGAACATTCGTCAATTTGCTGTACTGAAGTAATACAGTTTGCTATGATGCTGAACCTTATGCCATTGGAGTATCAAATACCATAATGGTCTCCCAGTGTGGACAGTTTGGAAGCAGGAGTGGCACCCACTTCCTAAACCACATGCCTATGGAGACTCTATGAACCTGGAGAAGCGATGAAAATTATGGAAAGGCATTAGGTCCTTTGTTCATAGAGTCGCTATGAGTCGTACTCAACAACAATCAACAACAACAACATTCCTTGGAAAGACTTATCATGGTTGTTGAGGTGAAGGGTCAGCAGAAGAGAAGCCCCTCGGGGAGATGGATTGGTACAGTGACTGTCTCAATGGGTCGAGTGTACCAGGGATGATGAGGACGGGACAGGACAGGGTTCAGGTCTCTTGTTCACACGGTCACGGTGATTCAGTCGACTTGAAGGCACCTGACAACTGGCAGAGCCGGTACGATATTTGGGGGCGAGTCACAGCAGTATTTCAGAGTGAAGCGCTTGTAAAGCATTGGGATACGGTCAGTGTGAGCTTTACAAGGGTGGGGGGGCTGCCCCACTCGGCTCTGCAGCGTCTGTTCTCTGTACAGATGCGTCTTCATTCCAGGGAAGGCTGAGGCCAGCCCTCATGCCTTCTGTATCGCTACCTCCAGCTCAGAGTCGGATTTTTATGTTAATAAATGGATGCTGGAACAAGTCTTTCTGCCTCACATCCCGGAGAACCCACCTAACAGCTCCTGGTACCTAGCCCCACTCATCATCAGCTAGAAAGTAAGTAAGGGCAGACTCCCAAGATTCTAGGCAAAGGCAGGCATGGGGCAGTGTTGGGGCCTGGCCCCAGCATGTGCCCGTCTGATGTCAGGAAGGGCAGCATTACGCATGTCGCATCCAGCATTTGCTGGCCGGGAGGTGCTGGTCCAGGTAGTGCAAAGGTCCTGAGATGTTTCTGCAGTTGGCCGCCTCGGGCAGGCAGCCCCCTCACACCCCCACAGCCAGGGGGCTAGTTTTCAGTAGCTGG